TGAAGCGCTGTTGGATGCTAACGCGATTGAGCGTGTCTCCGGAAATCGAGCAGGTGTCTTGGACTATGCGGTGACAACGTGTACCTTCCCGGTAGAGATCCAGGCCGTGATTAGCTCGAAGGAGCTCATGAGACGGTTCGCCACAGGCGTCGGATTCGGTGTTTCGACGCTCGCGATCGACGGTACCTATAAGCTGAACAAGGAGAAGCATGTCATTCTCGTGTGGGGCTCGCACAACTTCCACCAACAGTTTGCCCTGGGTGGTTTTGCGATCGTGCCGTCGGAATCGACCGAGCACTACGAGTGGACGTTTAATGCTATCTTCAAATATGCATCAAAGTATACCCCTACCGAGATGAACCGCCTGCTCCCCGACCACGACAAGCACGTGTGGCTGATGGGCGATGGCGCCGCTAGCATCTCCGCAGGTGCACGAAACAGCTGCAAGAAGCACAAGAAAACATATAATCGCGGAGTCTGCTGGTTTCATGTTATGAAAGCAGTTCGAGATAATGCCGCAAAAGTGAGCGATCCAGGCAACTTCGCCGAAATCAAAGCCGACATATGTGGTCTCCATGGAATCCCGTACCCATGCGCTGAGTTCAAGAAAACATGCGAGCGCATGTTTGTGGTCAAGTGGGAATCTCGACGCGAAAGCTGCTTCGCGGAGTATTTCAATGATACCTGGGCAGGGACAGGCTACTCGTTCTGCGACTCGTTACCGGGGTTAGTCACGAGTAACAACTGCGTCGAGAATTTCAATCGCCAAGTCAAGGACGAGTTCGCTCGAAAGATTCCTCATCTCCACGAGACGATCGCTCACCTTGCGAAGATCACTGAGCGAGAGCTCATCGATCGCATGCCGAATTGGGATACGACATATCCCACAATGAACCCAGCCGACTGGGATGCCACAGACGTGTTCATGCGGGAACACGTGAATAAGCATCCAGAACGCATCCCCATCGACTCACAGCTCACCTTGTACGTGCGCGCTGATGTCATGCTTCACACAAAGAGGCTCTCGCAAGAACTATGTCCCGCGGGGAGCGATGCTGAACGCGCCGTCGTGCGCACCCAACTCCTTCACGAAGCAGCGACGAAGTTCGCCACTTTCTATCGAGACAGCATGCTCGGCGGCGTACTCGAGCCGGGCACCGACTTCGACACCGCCATGCGGCAATCGACTCTGTTCTACGCCGTGACCCCGCTACCGAACGCAGAGTCAAACGCATACGTCAAGTTTTCGTGCACCTGCGTCGGGGACAAGAATAATCGAGGCTATCAGTACGCGGACTAACAGTAACGTTCATAACTAAAGTTATCGGCGAGTTATCGAAAAAATGGGGGTAACAGTACCAAAATTAGCATAAAGTTATTGAAATCACGCGATTTTGACGTTAACTTCGGGGAAAGTTATCGTCAAAATTAAGGTTTGTCAATAACTTTTGACGAGTCAGCTCTTGAGTCAATGAGGAGGGGGTCAAAGTTATGGGAAAGTTATCGAAATTAACTGTTACCCCCTTGACGATAACCCGCGTAATTTGCCCAAATGTCCGTTCATTTTAATCACACAAAGTCCGACGCGATGGTTCACGACTCGTGAGCGCGACGAAGTTATCGAAAAGTTATGAAAATGAGCTGTTAGTCGTTTGCGCATAACTCGGGGTATAAAGTTATCAGAACCCGTTACTGTTAGTCCCAACGAACATAACTCTGTCATTAAGTCCGAGTTATGGTCAAAGTTATCAACGGGACTGTTAGTCGGCCTAACCTCCGTTTAAATTAATTCTGACTATATACGTGCCGTACGTCCGAGTTTGTGCATCACGTATTATCATAGACGAGTCGCTGATTATTACATCGAGCCACAGTTCTTGTCGAGTCCGTTCTCCACCCGCACTGGTACATGTGGATCGGTCGCCGTCGCGATCGGACTTCTCGGAGGTAAAGATGCCGACGACGATGCCTTTAACAATCTCGAGCGCATTAGCGCCGCCTTACGTAGGTCGTGAAGCGGTGATGGATCGGATGGTGACGACGGCGGTAAGCTTCCATGGAACAGCTCCGACGCGCCGCCGCCATTCACGCCGTTCGCTTTCCCGTAGTTAAACATCATGGCGCTCTCCCCAGTCGGTGATTTGGCAATACAGGCGCCGCCACCACCGCTGCCGCCGCCACTACCGCCCGATACCAGGAGACCGCGGAGTCATCGCTCAATGTGTGACGTATATACGCCGTACCTCGTTCTATACGTACCGTGTGTCTTCATGGGCTACAAAAGGCGGATATACGCCGCTGACGGAGACGGGATTTGAACCCGCGCTCTTTCGAACAGGAGCCTTAATCCTGCGCCTTAGACCGCTCGGCCACTCCGTCGTCGTTGATGACGCGTTTTCGCATCACAATACGTACCGTCGTGCCCCGCTTTCCACCACTCCATCCCGACCGCATTCTCTCGTGAAACCTTACGGCTCTTTTTTTCCACCCGATGTCTCACATCCACGAGTCACCACCCACGAGTAATCCCACGTGGTATCTCACGACGCCACCACACCACGCCGAAGATTCGCCCGATCTCCCGCGCGCCCCCGCCACGTGGCCCGCGATCGCGCCGTCGACGAGTCCGCACTCAGCACCCACCCCCTCGCGCGATCGTCTCGCGCCGAAAAGTGCCTTTGCGTCCGCGTCGACATCCCCCGATCGACGATCGCGTCGACGCGACGCGCGCGACCGTGCGCGGGCGAACGAGCGATCGGTGAACACATCTCGCGCGGCATCACACGACGTGCGTGCTCGACGGCGACGCGCGGACGGGCGACGCGGGCGGACGACGACGCGACGGGACGACGCGACGCGACGCGACGCGACACGAAACGCGCGCGAATCGGTGGATTGGGGAATCGGCGCGCGACGGGTCGACTGACGACGGTGACGAGGATTCGCGCCGACGCAGACGCGCGCGGACTTTTGGCTCGACGCACGCGCGCGCAAAGGACGGACGCGCGGACGGGTGGCGACGGAACGCGGACGGTGCGTTTGAAAAGGCGGGAAACAAGATGACGAAGGAGTTGACCTCGGAGGAGATTCGACGCGCGAGAGATGACGTTGAATCGGGGGATTTGATGCGGATCGCGCCCGTGACGACGGATGTGGAAACGATCACGGCGTTGTTGAACGCGTGCTCGGATAAAAAGAGCGATGAGGTGCGAGCGTCGGCTTCGGAGACGTTGAAATCGATCGCCGCCAAGGCGGATGAATTCATCGTCGGCGTCGCCGTCGTTCCGGCCGCTTTGTCCGCCCTGGATCCGAAGAACCGGTTTCAAACGCAAGTTGCGGGAGCGAATCTCCTCACCGATCTCTCGACTTCATCCCCGCACGCGATCGCGGCCAATCTCACCGCGATCCTTCCGGTGGTCACCTCAATGGTGAACGACGCCAAGCAAGAAGTCGCGGACGCCGCGCGCGCATCCCTGACTGCCATCGCCCAAACGATCGACAACAAGGACGTCGAACCGTTCATTCCGGCCATGGTCGAAGCCACGATCGATCACGAAAAGACGGATGAGTGCGTGCAAAAGCTCGCGTCGACGACGTTCGTGCAAACCATCACGGCGGCGCCTCTGGCGTTGATTTCGCCCATCCTCTTGCTCGGCTTCCGCGCCAGAACGACCGCCACCAAACGCCTGTCCGCGGTGATCGTGAACAACATGTCCAAGCTCGTCGAGGACCCAGAAGACGCGGCGCCGTTCTTGCCCAACCTCTTGCCCGCCGTGGCCAAGGCGTCCGAGCAAGTTTCCGACCCCGAAGCCAGAGCCGTGTGCGGAAACGCGTGCGAGCAACTGCAATCCATCGAGGCCAAGCTGAAGGATGCGAACTTCAAGTCTCAAAAAGGGGTTTTCGCCGATATCCAGACTTTGACGGACAAGCACATCGCCAAGTACTTCTCGGATGCGTCCCTCTCCACGTACTTCGCCACCATGGTCACCGCCATGGTGGACGCGAAGATTTCGGATTTTGAATTCGAGGATGCGCTTCGATCGTTCGGTAAAGACGCCGTGAAGGATATTCGCGCGTTGTACGGTGAACTCGAAAAGATGTACTTTGGCGCCGAGGAGGAAGAGGACGACGACGATAACGCGGACGTGCTCGCCGACTGCCAATTTACCCTCGCGTACGGCTCCAAGGTTTTGTTGCACAACACCAAGCTCAAGCTCAAGCGCGGTCACAAGTACGCGTTGCTCGGCGGGAACGATAGTGGGAAGACTTCGCTCATGCGCGCGATCGCGAACGAGCAAGTCGAGGGCTTCCCGCCCGCGAGCGAGCTTCGCACGGTTTTCGTCGAGGCGGACATCATCGGCGAGCTCTCCGATTTGCCGTGTGTCGACTACATCTTGGCGGATCCACGCATCAAGGCGGCCGGCATCTCCGAACAGACGGTTGAAAAGATGCTCTTAAACGTCGGTTTCGGTGAGATGCAAAACGGAGCGAGAAACCTCGTGACTTTCTTGTCTGGCGGGTGGCGCATGAAGCTCGCGCTCGCGCGTGCGATGTGCTTAAACGCCGACATCCTACTCATGGACGAGCCGACGAATCACTTGGACGTGATGAACGTAAAGTGGGTCGAGGAGTACTTGAAATCCCTCACCGACGTCACGTGCGTCCTGGTCTCGCACGACACCGGTTTCGTCGACCGCGTGTGCAACAACATCATCAGCATTGAAAACTTAAAGCTCAAGCAGTTCCGAGGCAACTTGTCCGAGTTCGTCGAGAAAAACCCGAAGGCGAAGTCGTTTTTCGAGCTCAAGAGCTCGAGTGGATTCGTCATGCGATTCCCGCAACCGGGATTCATCGAGGGCGTCAAGTCCAAGGGTAAGCCGCTCATGAAGATGGCCAACTGCACGTATACGTATCCGGTGAACGATGCGCCGACGGTGAAGGATGTCACGGTGCAAGTCTCCCTCGCATCGCGCGTCGCGTGCGTCGGGCCGAACGGTGTCGGGAAGTCTACGATGATCAAGCTTCTCACAGGTGAGGTTGTTCCGCAAGAGGGTACGGTTTGGAAGCATCCAAACGCCCGAGTGGCGTACGTCGCCCAGCACGCTTTCCACCACATTGAACAACACCTCGACAAGACGCCGAATGAATACATTCGCTGGCGTTACCAACACGGTGACGATAAGGAGGCCCTCGTCAAGGACACGATGACACTCACCGAAGAGGAGAAGGCGCGATGCAAGGAGCCGGTGTTGATTGATTTCGGTAACGACGAAAAGGGCAACCCAATCAAGATCAAGATGCAAATCGAAAAGCTCACCGGCGGTCGCAAACAGGTGAAGAAGGAGTACGAGTACGAAGTTCAATTCGTCGGACGAGACTACAACTCGAACAAGTATATTCAAGCGAGCAAGCTCGATAAGTGGGGCTTTGGTAAGCACATGAAGATTGTCGACGAAAAAGTCGCCGCGCGCGCGGGCGCCATGCACACGCCCTTGACGACGGCTAACGTGGAGAAATTCCTCGAAGATGTGGGTTTGGACAAGGAGTTCGGTACTCACACTCGCATGTCCGCGCTCTCGGGTGGTCAAAAGGTCAAGGTTGTCATCGCGGCTGCCATGTGGAACTGCCCCCACATTGTCATCCTCGACGAGCCGACAAACTACTTGGATCGCGACTCTCTCGGCGCGCTTGCGGGTGCAATTCAAGTTTACGAAGGCGGCGTCGTCATGATTACGCACAACAACGAGTTCTGCTCCGCCTTGTGCCCGGAAACGTGGCTCATGGAGAAGGCTCAAGACGGTATCGCTCGATGCAACTGCAAGGGTGACGCCGAGTGGATGGCCAAGGCTTCTAAGATGGAAGTCACCGCGGCGGCGCAACTCGAAGAGTACACCGACGCCTTGGGCAACGTCGTGGAGGTTAAGAAGAAGGTCGATAAGGATAGCAAGGAGGCCAAGAAGAGAGCCAAGCTCAAGGCCAAGCGTCGCGCTCGCGGCGAGGTCGTGACTGACACCGAGGATGAGGAATGGGAAGGCTTCGGAGAAGAATAAGCGCGCCGCACGCACTGTGGTAACTTTACTAACGACGAATCGTCCGCATCACTCTTTATTACTAATCTCGCCCGCGATGCGATCGACCTCTATGAACTCACTCCGTCATTAAAATGGCGTCGACACAGTTGTAATGACTTCAAACTTAACAAACGAGCTACTGAATTCGATTCTATGGCGCAACAATTGGCACGGTATATCGAAAGAGTGACTCACGAGAAATACTACGATTCGAGATAAGAAAGTGGCGCCCATCAGTCTTACTTGTTGAAAAAGGCGTACAGCGAAGCTTGGTGCTGTGGCTTGTTCGAGTTGGAGTCTCCTAGCGGCGCACGTTTCGGCGACGGCTGGTTCCCAGATGTCGGTGTCGTGGCTTTGCGCTTCTCTTGCCACATTCGCAAGACCTCCATGTCTCGCTTTAGCTTAGCCTCGGCGGCTGCCTTTCGTTGAGCCGCAAGTAGCTCCGCCTTGGACGGCCTTTTTGGCGGTCTGAGAAGTGCTTGAAGCAAACGCATGAGTCGCGTCTTGAGTCGGGTCGCCGCTGGCCATGCGACCGTCTCTCTGTACTCTCCGTCATCGTACACCCCCGTTCGAGACGCGAAACGAAGCTGTCGATCGTTTCTGATGAGGTCGAACTGTCGCTCTAATTCTTTAGAGTTACTCGGCGTGTAGCCGTAGCGCAAAGAACCGCGAAGGAGATCGGTGTCGTCTTCGGTCGTCCACCACTCCGCAGGCAACGACGCCTTGACACCGAGAACGGGTACCGGAAACTGCGCCCTTTCTTTTGGAAGGGTCGTCTTTTGACGTGGTGGAGGCGCGGTGGGGCTGTCGAGGTCGATGGGTTCTTCAGCCTCAATCAGCTTGGCGAGCGCGGCACGTTGTTTCATGAGCTTGGCGCGTCTGGGCATCGCTCGCAAGAGCTTGGTCCAGAGGACTCGATTCGCAAGAGCCGTGGCGGCTCTCTCCGGGACAAGAATCGTCTCCATAGCTGCGAACACGGCCTGCTTGGTCTCCTCCGTGTCTTCACGATCGTCTTCCTTGTCGTCGTCCTCCTTGCCGTCGTCCTCCTTGTCATCGTCGTTTTGTTCTTGCTTGGACTCAGCGTTCGCCGCTGAGGACGAGGATACCTCATCGCGGACACGCACGATCGTGTCGAACATTTCCATGACAGTTTTCGCGACGGCTATCTTTTGCTCGTCTGGCTTGTCCACGTCAAGAGTGCCGCACGTGACGGCTCGAGAGACGTCTCCGTTCGGAGCGCCGAACGCAGAGAGTGCGTCGACGACGACCTCGACCTCCCACGTGAACCAATTGAGTTTAGCATCTTCACGTTGACGTGCGAGTTCTTCCTCTCGCTCGCGTCGTCGAGCTTCACGTTCTTCCTGTCTGAGTTTTTTGTCCTCCTCGCGAGCGCGTTTTGCAGCGGCTCTTCGCTCACTGTACGTCGTACGCGTCCCCGTGCGAGGCGCCAGAGACGGTGTTTGGTTTTGGAACAAAGCGACACTTTCCTTGTAGTTCACCGTTTTACGCTTGCGCGGACCTTCAACCGCGAAACGTTTGTCGACGACTTGTTCCGCCGCCTTCTCCTTGGCCGCCTGAATCGCGGCGTCTCCGAAAGCTTCGGCCCAGAACGTCTCGTCATCGACGCCATCGCCGGGTTCGGCGCCAAATGTCGCGACAGAAAATGAATTACCAACTCGAGGTCCCACGTCGCGATGCTCGGCGCGACGGGACAAGATTTCATCGATATCTTCCGCAGCGAACGCGTTCGCTTCTTCTCCTGACGCATCCTTGAGCGCGCCGTGCACGCCGTACTTGAGCAACTCGTTAATGCGTTGCGCCTGCTCCTTTGCAGTTTTCTTCGACCGATGACCCTCTTCTTCTCCATTCTCATCGCCACCGCCGAGAATCGCCTCGTCCAAACCGTACTTGCGCGACGCAGTCTCGAACAATGACTGCTCGTATGTGTCTTTGGTGACGAATCTGTACACCTTGACCTCTTTGGTTTGGCCAATTCGATGGCAGCGCGCCATCGCTTGGAGATCGTTCTGAGGGTTCCAATCGGAATCGAAGATAATCGCAGTATCCGCGGACGTGAGAGTAATCCCCATGCCGCCCGCTCGAGTAGAGAGCAAGTACGCGAATCCCGCGCCCGGCGTGTTGAATCGATCAATCCCAGCTTGACGGTCTTCTGCCGAGGTGGTACCATCCAAGCGCTCGCACTCGTACCCGGACGCGCTCATGAAGTCTTGCACGAGATCGAGAACCATGGTGAACTGCGAAAAGATTAGAACCTTATGCCCGTCGCGCTTCAGCTTTGCGAGGAGCTTTGCGAGCAGGCTCATCTTTCCGCTCCCTTCGACGAGGAGCTGTAGCGCTGAAGGAGGCGCGATACCGTTCTCCTCGCACGCGGCGAGACGTTTCTTCGTGTAATCCTCCTCGAGGCCCGCACAAAGAAACGGATGATTGCACACCTTACGAAGCTCCATGGATAGATTTCGTAGCTGTGGCACACTTTTCACCTTGGATCCTTCCAAGAGGACGTGAATTTGGTTTTCATACAGCGCGCGATAATATCCACGCTGCTGCGGAGTAAGTTCGACCCACACGACGACCTCTTCCTTCGCAGGAATTTTTTCAACGTCTTCCTTCATGCGACGCAACATGCGAGGCTTGAGTAAATCTCTCAATCGCATCACTTGCGTCGCGTCGACCTCTCCCGATTCGTCGCAAAATTCGTCGCGGAAATCTTCCCATGAATGAAATTGTCGAGGATCAAGAATGTGGAGCATCCCGTACAGCTCTTTGATGTTATTCTGGATCGGAGTTCCCGTCAAGAGTAGGAGCCAGTCATACCGGAGCGATGTCACCGCGATGGTCGTCTGAGAGTTGACGTCCTTCATTTTGTGTGCTTCATCGACGACGCACATGGCAAAGGAAAAACGCTCCAAAAGCTCGATGTTCCTGCGAACGTTATCGAAACTCACGAGCATGACATCAAATTTCGGTTTGCGCGACCCCTGGACGAAGAACTCGTGCTCGATGCACACTTCGCGATCGGCGGCAGATCCGTCGAAGACGATTACGTTCATGTCGGTCCACTTTTCAACTTCTCGCTTCCAGTGTCCGAGCGTCGTGAGCGGTGCGACGACGCACATGGGCTGACGACGACGCATGAGATTCTTACGTACGTACTCCATCACCGAGATGCACTGCGCCGTCTTCCCTAGGCCCATCTCGTCGCCCAAGATGACGTTCCTTCCGCGGTAATAGTTGCTCACCATCCACTCAAAACTCGTCACCTGGTACTCGCGAAGAGACATCCCATTCTTGAACTCCGGAGGCATGGGTTTTCCTCGCGGCATTTCCGTGCGCTCAAAAAACTCAGGATTGGTGAATCTCCAGTATCGCTCCACCTTGCCCTTGTCTTCGTCGAGCTCGCTCACGCTTTCGCTCGTCTCCCACGTGGACGCCGCGTACCCCAAGCCGCACCACTTCACCAAGTACTCCACCGATCCATCATCCTCGCCCTCTCGGTGAGCGATCACGCGATCGATGATATCATACGCCTTTGGGTACCGCTCATCCTGCGCCTCGATCGCGTGCTTCCGCGTGAACGTCTTCAACTTGTGCGGCGCCTCGCGCGCGAGCGTCTCCGCCGTCTCCCACGAGCATCGACGATAACTCACCCCTTCCCACTTCACGCAGTACTCCAGCTCCGCGTCCGCATCACTTTTCTGTCGACAGTACACGATTCGTTCGACGACGTCTCGATACGCCGCATCCTCCATCGACGCGTCCTCGTCCATCCGTCCCGCGCTCGTCGTCGACGCGTCGTCCGAATCCAATTCCGAATCCGACTCCGCCTCCCGCATCGACCGCACCGCCCGCGCCGCGGCTCGCCGCGGACGCCGTCCCACGCCGTCGTCCACCGCCACCGCCGTCGCCCCCGACGGCGCCGTCATCGACGTATCCGAGTCGCTCCCGTCCATTGCGCTCGGCGTGTCGTCGCGCGCGAGCTCCCGCACGCATCCCTCGTCGTCGACGCGCCCCACCGCTTCTGCCGCCGCGCGCATCGAGCGCGCGCGCCCGACGTCGACGTCCACGCGCCGCGCGCGCCCGACGCGCGCCGTGGTCGACGACGACGACGACGACGACGACGACGATGTGTCTCGATTCAAATTCTTTCGTGCGTCAGCGCCCCACGCGTGTGTGCGTTTTACCCCCCCTCGATCCCCGCGCGCCGTCCGCGACGCCGTAGTGCGCGGACCGGAACGCCATGTGGAGATCCACGCGAAACGGCACGCGCGTGATCGACACAAACTCGGACGCGTGGACAGTATACCGCGCGTCGATCATCTGTATGTGAAACGTCGCGTGACGCGCATCGCGCGGGCGTCGACACGGGACGTCGACGCGACGACGACGACGACGACGACGTCGCCGCGTCGCGCGTCACGCGAGCGCGCGCGCGGGATGGTGACCGCGGCGCGGGGTGGGGTGAATTTTCCCGCGTCCACGCGAGCGACGTCGAGGCCGGACGGGCGGTCGGTGCGCGTCGAGCGGCGACGATGGGTCGATCGCGCGCGGCGTCACGGACGACGGCGAACGGATGATCGGATTCAGTCGCGGGCGATCGGTGACGCCGCGGTGCGCGAGCGCGGGTCGGTGGACGGTAGCGATGGACGATTGACGCCGACGTACGCGGGATCGACGGCGCGGGGGGGGCGTCGTCGGATCGAGAGTGAACTCGGGACGAGCACGACGGAACAGGCGGGACGGAACGTGACCAACATCTTACTCGGCGTCGGGACGTTTGGGGGGTGCCGTACGCGTTGAAAGAGGCTGGGTGGAGCGGGTTGATCGTGCTCGGGACGTTGGGTCTGGTGACGAATTACACGGGGAAGATTCTGATCGCGTGTCAGCGGCGGGGGACGCTGCCGGCGAGCGAGCGCTCGACGGAAGGGGCCGGTGGGTCGACGCTGTGGAGCGCGACCGGGGTCGTTGGGGACGACGTGTGTCCCGATGAGTTTTATGAGCGCCCAGCGGAACGCGCGTTGACGTCGTACGAAGACATCGGCGAGGCGGCGTTCGGGAAACTCGGGAGGAACTTCATCACGAGCGTCCTGTACACAGAGTTGATCGGCACCGCTGGATTGTTCTTCATCTTGGAGGGCGATCATCTCGCGACGTTGTTTCACGCGAAAGGAAAGGAAGAGCTCTTCGCGTGCGCCGCCGCGCTTTTCATGGTTCCCACGACGTGGCTGTTCGATCTGTCCAAGCTGAGCTATGTCGGCGCTCTCGGATTGTACGCGTCGACGGTGCTGACTGGCGTCGTCTCGTACGAGCTCATACATCAGTACACCACGACGGGGTCGCTTCCACACCTCGCGGAGACGACGTTCGTGAACTGGTCGACGTTTCCAGTGAGCTTTGGATTGTTGGCATTCGTGTACGCCGGGCACGCGGTGTTCCCGGCGATTTACGCGTCGATGGAAAAGCCCGAGGAGTACGAGAAAATGCTCGACGAGTCGTACATCGTCGTTGGGTTGAATTGCCTCGCCCTCGGCTGCGCCGGGTACGCTTTATTCGGGAACGAGGTCTCCGATCAGGTCACGCTGAGCCTCGACACTGGGGCGCTCGCGACGCTCGCGTTCGGTTTGACCGCGATCAACCCGTTCGCCAAATTCGCCCTTACGCTGGACCCGGTGGCCAAGGGCGTGGACTCCAAGCTCGGATTTCGCGTGCGCGACTCAAAGTCGGACGCTCTAGTTTCCCGGCTCTTGCGCACCGCTTTAGGCGTGCTGACACTCGGCGCGGCCATCAAACTTCCATTCTTCGGTGTTGGCATGTCACTCGTCGGCGCCGCACTCACGCTCTCCGTCTCTGTCACGTTCCCTTCGATGTGCTACCTCCGGATGTTTGGCGACGAGCTCTCTCGGGGCGAACGTTGGCTCAACTACGCCATCCTCGGTATCGGTTTCACGTGCGCCGCCTCGGGTACAGCCGCGGCGTTCCAATCCGCCTTGGAAATCAGCGGTTAAGACGCCAAGTCACGTATAATTCATCGCACGCGCGTATTGTTTGTATCAAGACACATTTTTCTGTTCCTTCATCCCGCCTCTCCCGTCGTTCACGCTTTGTCCGCGCGGCGGCTCAACTACCTCTCGCCGTCCGCAGACCCGTGCGCTCTCATTCGCTGGCGCGCGCCCCGACATGCGGCGAGGCGCGCTCCTAATAGTCCTCTTCGTCCTCGCGCGCGACGTCGACGCCGAGAGCGACGACGCGTCGACGATCGAGCGTCAGAAGGCTTCGTCGTCGGACAGTTGGAGAGTCGGTCACGCATCCGACTCTCTGTCGCGATACAACGGGCACGCGCGACGATTACTGCGCGATGCGGCGCCGACGCGGGCGTGGGACGCGGCGGGTCGGTTCTTAGACGCGCTCGATGGGAGTTTAGCCGACGCGAGTGCGAACGGATGCGTCTTGCACGAGTTCAACTCGTTGCCGAACGTGGAGACGGTGGACGTGAGCGTTCGGTTGGATTACCACGCGATGGCGAAGAATGGTAATTTGAAGAGATTAGGGGTGATGTGCGACGCGCGGAGCGAGAGAGGAAGCGGAGAGGCGTGGTGTTTGGGATTGGAGCGGTCGACGGCGTTCGAGCGACATCGAAAGTGGTGGCGACGCCTGAGCGAAGCGTACGAGGACGGGAGGCATCCGTATTGGTTGAGCGAATACTTGGAGTTTGATATGCATGCGAACGAGATGAATCCCACGGCGAGCGTGTTCATCGAGACGACACCTATGGTGAATAGAAGACAGGCGGAGTACGTGCCGGCGCTGAGGGAATATTTAGAAGCGATCGAGGAGACGGCTTCGGAGAGGCTGTATGAGAACATCCAGGCGGTGATCGACGCGGCGATGGGAGATGGATTCGACACACACATGTGGGCCGCCGGAATCATGTTCAGTCGATCGACGAAGACGGCGAGCGGGACGATCGACAGCGTTCGTGTGCTAATTCATTTTATGCGACACACGCCTCGAAACGGCGCCAAGGACGAAGAGGAAGACGGATACAGGAGCGAAAAAACGCGCCAAATGGTGCGTCTTCTCGAGATACTGAACTGGACTGGTGACTTTGACGAGTTCGATCGCATAGACAATTATTTCTTGGACGACGGTGGGCTTGGCTCGGTGCTTCAGCTGGACGTCCTGAATCGCGCGCCGACGGCGAGCGACCCCTCGATCATCGGCCCACGCGTCGGTGTCGAGATAACCATCGGCGTCGCTGACCCCACGAAGAACATCATGCCGCGACTCAACTCTCTCGTTGACGATGGACTCGTCGCCCCGATGTGGTGGAGCAATTTCACCGCCGCGTTGTGCGAGCCCGGTCCTCCGCGAACCGACGCGAGTAACGCTCGGGCCCTCCTCCGTCGTCCGTGCGCCATCAGAAGACGCACAGCCGCCGACAAGCGAGACTTGACAAAGAATGATGGTTCGGGCTTCCACCCACCGCTCACCGTGGCCGTGAGTCACCTCAAATTTATCGTTCAACCAGGACGCTCTCTGTACGTCAAGCCGTACGTCACGACGCAAGCTCCGTTCGCGTGGTGCCTTGACGACAAGGCCCACGCCGAGCCTGAATCGCTCCCGGTCTACAATCAGTGCGCCCGATGATCGATCGTCGTATGTGTACCATGTATCAACGAATTAAACGACCGCGCGTGAGGGAACCGTCGATGCGTCAATCGTCCTCGCCGCCGCCGCCTCGCTCGCCGACCCGACCGCGCGCCGGAGTCAACACACCATCGATCGACGCGCGCGCGCCGCATCATCCACGGTGCCGCGCGCGCGACGCCGCATTCACCGCACACGACGCTCGCGCGCGTGATCGACGCGCTTGCACGCGCGCGCGCGTCGTCACCGGGACGCACGACGCAGAAATATTCAATCGCCGATACATTCCGAGCTCGCATCGAGTCATGATTCCACCCGCGAGGACGTCGGATCGCCTGAAGCGCATCCTGGGGACGTCCGAGTGGGCGCCGAGGAGGTCATCTCGATCGTCCGAGTCGCTTCCGCTTCGAGATCGCTCGCAGAGAAGCGCGCAAGGGGATCAGTGTACGAAAACGGTGTGGAGCGGGACGGCGGCGCTGACGCGACGCGAACCCGGAAGAGAAGGACGAATGAAGACGTCGAGCGAGGCGGTGGACGAGACCCCGATCGGGTTGATCACTCGAGCGTCGTGTGACGCGGGGAACGATGCGTCGATGGAGGCGACGGCGGGGGCGAGCAGCGCGCAGGCGAGCGACGCCGAGGTGGACGACGCGGACGCGGGCGCGACGGAGCGCGCCGCGGAGCACTCGACGCGGTGCGCGAGTGAGGGCTTGGGAGGGTTCACGAACGCGCGAACGGTCGCGTGCCAGCTCGTGGCGCAGGCGCCGCCGTCGGGGGCGGATATTCCTGGGACGGCGCGGGGGGAGGGGTTCGCCAGGGCGAGCGCGGCGGGGAACGCGCTTCCGGAAATCGTGCACGCCGAAATCGTCGGTCCCGAGGACGAGGGCTGGCCCGAGGTTTGGGATCCTGTGGCGCTCCTACGTTTGTTTCCACTCTCGGCGCATCACTTGGTGCCGTTCAATCAGATGCGAGCGATGCTCACGGACTGTCGTCTTGACGAGAAGAAGACGCGGGACACGGGCGAGGGCGTCGCAGGCGCCGCGCGCATGGAACTTCCAGACGGGTACGTCGTGTACGTTGTCTCTGACGAAGGTCTTCCAGACATCGTGCGAGGCGCCCTGTACGGTAAGGCGAGTGGGAAGAGTGAGACCAACAGGCCGCTGTGGGCTGTCATACAAAGTATTTCGCCGTTAGACAAGCCGCAACCTCCGGCGACGGTGCCGACGCCGGATTTGAAACCCACTCGCGGGATCCTGCGCGGTTGGCGACCTCCGCCGAAAGAACCGGCCATCAGTGATAACACGCGTGTGCGAGTGGATCGTGTGTCGGAGCAGGAAGGTGTCGTTAAGATGGCGGAAGAACTCTCCGGAGTGCACCCGTCGGCGGAGACGACTGACGAAGAAAAGTCATTGAGTTCCGCGCACGAAATGACGAGCGGCGTCGAAGAGAGCGAAGGCATGGGAACGGTGACGCCGGTAATAAGCGAGGAGACGAGTGAGCTCACGTCTGGTACGTCTGAGGTCGAGCGCGTGACTATCAAAATCGGCGGCGACGACGAGTTGGACGACTGGCTCTCGCCCCCACTCGCTCGGCGTAAGAGAAAATCGTTCGCCAGCGCGCTCGCCGGTTCGGGATCGGATAATGAAAATTCCGATGATTCATCTGCTCCAGAGTTTGCAAAGCTGAAGCGTACGGCGACTTCGCCCGCCGCATCACCAAGCTCTTCAGAGGGCGAAGAGGAGCTCGTTCCCATGGAGCGAGGGCAGCACGAAATCCCGACCGCGACAGTGGCGCTAGCGCAAGTCATCTCGCCCGAACAGCGAGTTCCGAACATTCCTCTCACAGGTTTGCGATATATGCTCCTTGGCTTCGAGCTGAATCACCCGCACGTGGTGTATCTGATCAACTCGCTTGCCGAGGAGGGCGCCATGCACTTGGACATGAGAAGCAGCAAACCGGAGGATGTTGACTTGATCGTCTTGCATCCACCGTTTCTGCAGCTCTTGTCAGCTCCTCAGTTCCCGATGAACGTGGCAGATTTCACCAGGACGCGGCACACGAGATTTGCTCTCGGTTTACGCCACTTGGAGCTATGTTTGGAGCAGCGAAGACAACTCGATCCCAGACTCGAGACGGCTGAAGTTTTCCCAGAAGGCGTGTTGGTTGTCATGGATGACGCGGCGCTGATCAATGATGAAGAGGCGCTTCATCGCATCGTTCGTCTACTTGCTCAGGCGTCGGCTGCGAGTGCGGCGTGTTCAGCGGCAAAGGGTATCTTTCACTACGGCCAGGACGGCACGCGTGAAAATCCACCGTGGCCGTGGGCCATCAAGATCGCGAACAGCACGATTCAGAAGCTCATGATGACCAAGCTTCGAATGATGCAAACAAACGCGGAGAAGGCGTGGAAGATCGAGGCAATGATCAAGGCACTGCACGCGTACAAGCACGCCGGGGACCGCGCCGGGAGAGGGGCGAGAGTGATGGGGATCACGTGGGAGGAAGCATCGCACCAGCCGGTGGAGGATCCTCCTCAGGCGGTGCGCGACGCGGTGAAAATCGCATCGAGACACGTGTCTTTGTGTCGAGCCGTATTCCTCGTGAGTGAGGATTCTAAGACGCTCACCGCGGCCAAGGGACAACGCAGTATCTTATCGGGGAACGTGAACGACGTCTGCGACTTTTTGACGTCGATCGTTCGTGAAATGTGGGCAGAGACTAAGGCGGCGCGTACCGGCATGAGCGTTCACGATAGTAAACGCGTGGATGCGAGCGAACCATCAGCGAGTGACGTGAACTCAGACGCCCGAGATGATTCGAAGCTCCCCGACATGGAGGAAGAAGCGAGCGATGCAAGTCGGAAGCGAAGCAAGGAGAAAAAGGTCGTCAAGTTCCCCACCATGATCGATGACGGTGGTCGGAGTACGCGTAGCCGTGGGCGTTATAGTCCACCGCCGTCTCCCACGCGCACGAACTCCGGAAGGACGGGCGACGACACGAGTAAGGACACGTCCAAGACGTCGACGGGAGATGCACCAACCGACGGCGAAGAGACGGCGCAGTCACCAGTAGCTCCAAAGCAGAAGCGTTGGCGGCATTCGAGCGTAAGTTAACGTATTATGTTCTACTAGATAGTTTTGCTGTATCATTACAATTGAAATTCTAGGCAATAATGTTACACTGAAGCGTCGTCGTCGAACAAGTACTCGAGGAGCGGCGCGACGCATGCGACTGACATCGAGTTCCCAAGTAGCGTATACCGCTGGCGCTTGGACAATTCTTCCGGCCATTCGAAATCACTGGGAATCGAGTGCAAGCGCATCACCTCGTCCACCGTGAAGTATCGCAAACGGACGTCGTCTTCGCCTTCTCCGGTGCGCCCGTCCCACGTCGACTTATCCACAAGACGATTGGCGACGACCGATCCAGTGCCTTTGACGTACTTGAAGTAACTCTTCGTAAAGCAGTTACACGTAGTATCGCTCGAGCTGACTATGTCGATGCACCCCTTGGCTCGATCAATGTCGTCTTGCCTGAGCGCGTTCTCACGCCAAATGTCCGAGTTTTCTGAATCGAGAAACCTCGAGAGCGGTGCGACGTCGACGTCCGCGTCCATCGTCTCGTCGTATTTCGGAATCCAGTGTCTCTTGTGCGATAGCTCGCACGGCGGCGGCGCTCGCCGTATGTTGTCCACGGCATCTCGAAACGCGTGTGTCGTCCTCGCGCACAGAAAGTACCGCGGTCTGCTGTACGGCACCCCGAACATCGTCGGCGTCAGAATGAACTCCTGCACGTGAAACTCCATTTCTCGCAACTTCTCAATCAACAGCTCCCGCATCTTACTCGTCTCGAATCCCACGACGTTCTCCACGAAGACGTACCTCGGCCTCTTTTCCACGGATAGCTTCGTCGTCTCCTCCACCAACCGCGCAAAGCTATCCGCCCGCCCATCCTCCACGTCCAACCGCTTCCCCTGCCTCGTGAACGGTTGACACGGGGGCGACATCAACCACGCCTCCGCCCCGATCTTGCCCAGCGCCTCCATCGACACGCCCGCCAAATTTTTCGCCAACGGCCGCGTCCCGTGATTCCGCGCGTACGCGTCGCACGCGTTCGGATTCAAATCATACGCCACCACCGTCCGCGCTCGCACCCGTCGCACCCATCGCATCGCCAGCGACATCACTCCAATCCCGCAGTACATCTCCGCGACGCCCACGACGCCCGTGTCGTCGTCTCGCGCCGCCATCAGCGCCCGCGTCCGCTTCATCCCGCGCGTTTCGCCTCTTCCACGCGTTTCGCCGCCGTCCGCAGCGGTTCGTCGAACGCGTACGCGCCCGAGACGACACCCACGAGCGCGGCGACGACGGGCGTCACCGCGTCGCCGCGCAGGAGGCGTCGACCGCGACGGGTGAACATGTCTGTCGTCCGCCATCCGTGTGTCCGAGGGCATGCACCGCGAACCCTAGATTTCGCCCCGCATACTTTTTTAGTGTCTTTTCCGTCCCACAACGCTGTATTCCGAATGGACGCGAGGCCGTGTGCGTGCGGGCGACGATCCCATGGGCGCCATCTCCGTGTGAACCCTAGGTTTCGCCCCGCATACTTTTTTAATGTCTTTTCCGTCCCACAACGCCGTATTCCGAATGGACGCGAGCCCGTGTGCGAGGGATCGCGCGCACGCGTGACGTCACCGCGTCGGGACGCGCGCGAGGACGCGCGCGATCGACACACCCGCGCCGTCGTCGCGAGCGACCGACGAGCGGGGCGACGAGACGAGAGACATGCCCGCCGCCGCGGTCTCGAGCGCGCGCGCGAGCGCGTTCGCGCGAGGATGCGCCGTGGACGCGCGATCGACCGCGCGCGCGCGCGAGGGTCGCCGCGCGCGCGCGCTCGTCGTCCGGGCGCAGGAGATCCAGGTGAGCGTGGATAAACCCCTGGGGTTGACGTTCAAGGAGCGCGGTGACGGCCGACCCGGGGTGCAGATCGCCGGGTGCAAAGGGAACGCCGCGAAGGCTGGGTTGAAGGCTGGGGACGTCGTCAAGTATCACTCATCCTTCTTCGGCGACGAACTGTGGCCGGCGGACGCGCTGGCGTTCACGCGAAGCGCGATCTCTGCGTGCCCGAACACGGTTGATTTCATCGTTGTTCGAGGACAGGCGGACTTTGACGTGAAGCGATTGCCGAAACTTCCGGCGCCGCCAAAGTTTGGGCGTAAGCTCAGCGCCGCGCAGAAAGAGCGCGCGTCGCACATTTGCGTCGATTGCGGCTACGTCTACACGCTCCCGACGCCGTTCGGTGAGCAACCCAAGAGCTATGTGTGCCCGCAGTGCAACGCACCGAAGAGTCGATTCGCGCCGTACGACGTCGAGACGGGTCGCGCCAAGGGCGGCGGACTCAGCACGCCGATCATCACCGTCGTCTCCACCGTCGCCGGTCTCGGTGGCATGGTGTACTTCTTGAAAGATATGTTCTAATTTCACGCGAATAGTGTAACGAACAGATATATCTCGTCCGTTCCTCGTCGTCGACCGCCGAGCTTGATCCGTCGCGCGCGCGACTTGTGTACTATCGGTACACGCGCAATGAATGCTTTTCTTACAATTTTCTTCGTTCCATCACCCGTAATCGACGCGCGATGATCACGTTAATCGATAACGATGACCGCATTCGAAGATGATTCAACCTTCGTCGCGCTCGTTCGAGGGTGCTTCGGAAACTCCACAGCGACCGTGCTGGGTGGAATCATTCGATACGTCCCGAGCGCCGCGTCGACGTCATCCTGAAATCGACAGCGGCGAATCGTACGAAAGCCCTCCTCCTTCGTCGGCGGCGCGTTATCCTTGCGTCGCATCTGCATCTGCACCACTCGCACCGCACCATCACCCTCGACGCCACCGGGATGATTCCTACGCGCTCTCGCCCGCTCCTGATACGTCGTCGTCGGTTGGTTGAACCACACGCAGTGTAAATCGCACGGCGGCGTCGACGCCTTCGCCAGCGCCACGAAATCTTCCCTCTGCTCCCGACTCAGCCCACAACGATCGATCACCACGTGTTTACCCTCGCACACACCCCGTTTCGCCACCGACACGCACTGCCGTCGCGTCCCTCTGCGCCCGTCCCGCACCGTGTCCTGATTCGACACCGTCCACCGCCCCGTCGCCCGCAACCGCTCCGAGAACGTGCTCTTCCCCGACCCGCTCGGTCCCACGAGCACGAGCACGACGGGCGCACCCGTGGACGCGGGCGTCATCGCGCCCGCGCGTCCGACGCCGTGCGTCGCGCGCGCGACGTCCGCGTCCGCGTCTCGTCCGATTTCGCGTCGCGCCCGCCCCCCGCGTCGCCGCGCCTCGATCCACCCCGCGCCCGGCGCCCCGTCGGTGGCGTCGTCGTCGTCGTCGTCGTCGTCGACCGTCTCGACGCGCGCGCGCGACATCGAGCGCGGCGTCGCGCGATGAAGTGGGCCCATGAATGTGCGCTCGCGTTCGACGACCGCATTCGACGCCGCGCGCGCGATATGGCGACGCCGACGACGCCACCGCGCGTGGTCGGGGCGAACGGGCGCGCCGCGATCGCGGCCGCGCTCGCGCTCGCGCTCTCGGCGCGGCTGGCGTGGCAGAAGTGGGAACACGATGCGATGGTGATGACGCTGCGGGAGGAGCTGGCGCGCGAGCGCGAGGCGCGAACGGCGTGCGAGGGACGCGGGTGGTTCGCCCGGCGCGAGGCGCGGGGCGCGGGCGCGGCGCGAGGGCGCGGGGGGGGGGGAGGGCGAGGGAGTGGGATGTATTGAGCCGCGCGCGGCGCGAGACGCGAACGTCGCGCGAGTCCGGGGCTAGGGACGCGCTTCGAGTGCGGTGCTATTCCGCTGTTTCGTCGTCGCCGTCGTCGTCGATGAATGTGGCGACGTACGGGGCCAGGGCGAGGGCGGCGGCGAGCCTGAGCGGGACGAACAGACGGACGACGTTGATGAATACGGCTCCGGCGCCAAAGAGTTTCGCCTTGTCGACGGGGTCCGAGAGGTCGAGCCACGTGCCCTCGGCGACTTTGTACCACGCAAATGCGAGCGGGCCGGCGATGGCCCAGAACGCGAGCTCGATGACGACGTACGAGACGGTGCCCGCGACGCCGAAGGATTTCACATCCTTCATCGAAAGCGTTGGCGCGCGCTCGCCCGAGTTTAGGGCGTAATACGTCCAGACGACGCTCGGTAGCGCAATCATCGCGAGCGCTTTACCGTACGAAGGCTCGGCGAAGAAATTTGCGACCGGTACTCCCAGCTCACCGTACTTGACCGCCGCGCTCGCGAGCGACGTCCACAGAGCCAATTTCAGCGCAAACGACGCGCCGTTCTCGATTGGTGGCTCGCCCGTGATGGCGATCGCGGATGCGCTCAAGCCCTCGGTTACGTCTCCTGAGGAGTCCACATCGTCGTTCTTCGATATACGGTACGCCGCGATCGCACACCCAGCGTTCCCCAATAACGTAAGCGTCGCCTGCAACGGCACGAGCTGATTCAGCGTCGACGGATTGTAAAACGCGTGGAACGTACATGCGGTAAAACCACTCGCGAGAAACGGTGACATCGCGACCGTCAGATAGCGCCATCGCTCGTTCTTTGTGCGATCAGCGTGCCCGGCGACGTACTTCATGGCCAACGCCCACTCCGTGACACTAGAGACGTGCACCGCCCACGTCGGCAAGCTCAACGCATTCGTTGGTTCGCTCTCCAGCACGTCTGTTCCGATCACCGTCCCTGCGCTCGCGTCCAAGGCGAGCGTCCCAGCGGCACATGCTAAAACTAACACCCCCAAAAAACCAATCGCGGATCTACTCGCGTCCGAATCACTCTCATCACCCGCATCTTGCGCCGCCGCCGAGCCGAACCCGTACGCAAATAACGCGTTCGAGATGGTCAAAAGCGACTCCGACCCTCCGTGCAAGAGATCGACATTGGCTAATATATCCCCATATTTCGCTTTCGCCACGATCCCGGCCGGAATCGTCGCCGCCACGAATAACAGCAAGAACCGCGCCCCGAGCTCGCTCGTCCGCGGCGTCGTGCGCGTTTTTCCCAAGAACCACAGGTACGCCAAATACGGCGCCAGACCGACCTGGAACAGCGTCGTCTCCGACCCTTGAGGGAACACACGTATGCCTTCCCTCGAAACGTCCGTCACCGACCACGCGTCGACGCTCGCGAGGTCGTACACGGACTCGAGAGGTAGAGCTTTATTGTGAGTAAGATGACCTCGAGCGGACGCGAAAGGGCTCTGTGTCGCACCGAGGACGCGCGCGACGCCGAAGACGCGCGCAGATGGCGCAGCGGAAGACTTCGTACCGCGCGCGCGGAGAGGGGCGTCAGCGACGACGAAAGAGGTGGGAACGAGCGACATGCTGAGGGGCACACTCTGACGCGTGCGCCCGGGTGGAACGTCGATGAGGGAGTAGAGGCGTTCGGAGTCGAGCCAAGCTGGCTTTGTGATTCACTGAGCATTGAATAGGCGATATATTTATAGCAATTTCTTGAGCGGACGCTTGGACTCTTCGAGGACGGCCTTAAGGTCGTTACCGAGCTTGGAGTCCGTTGATCCGTAGCGCTGCAAGCTGTACACGACGACGCCGGCACCCAAGAGTTCCAAGAGTCGCGGCGCCGCGATGGCTACGAGCGGCCAGTGGGCAACGTTGCCGAGCACAACGGTACCGGTGAGCGTGGTGGCGGGACCAGCGATGTCGAGCACTGGATTCTCGTTCTTTTCGCCGAACCAAGCTGGGAGGTCCTTGGCGGTCTCCGTGATGCCATCCACATCGATGTCCTTGGCGGCGTTCACAGCCTTCTTCGCGGCGGTACCGACCGGAGCGAGTAGGTCGAGCGCTTCACCAACATCTTGCGGCAGCTTCTTCGGCAAACTATCGGCGAGAAACTCGAAATCCTTACCGATTTTGTCTTCGCCGACGAGGAGGTAGCGCTCGAGGAGTAAAACAGCCGTGAGCGTTCCCACAAACTCGAGCGGAGCCGGAACGATCGCACCGAGCACGGGCAAGTGCACGACAGCGTCAGTAGCAACAATCGCACCGACCGTCGCAGCCTTCACCGGGAAGTTGTCAATCCCATCAATGGTTTCAAACATCGCATCTGCAGCCCCCTCGAGGTCGCCTTGCAGAACGGACTGTCGCACGCTCGGCACCAAGACGCCGAGGGCGACCGCGGTCGCCACGGAGACAGCGGCGACATTGCTGAAGGTGGCACCGACGAAGCTTAGATCTTGAGAGGAGCTGGACTTGGCGACGCGCTCACGTTCGCGTTGCGCTGAGGCCTTGGCGCGCTCTTGCTCACGCTTCTGCTCGGCCTGCTTCCTCTCTCTCTCCTTGCGCTCTTGCTCACGCTGCCTCGCGATGTCGGCTTGCTTGCCTTGCGTTTGCACCTTGACCGGTGCCGGCGAAGAAGGCACCGGGATCGACGTCGGGGCGGGGGTGGCCTGCGTGGTCGGCGGGGCGCTCGCCTGAACTTCCTTGTCTAACGCCTTGTCTGCGGCTTGCGACTCGCGCTCCGCCGCAGCTTGAGCTCGCGCCGCCTCACGTTCTGCGGCCGCGGCAGCAGCTGCAGCTTGTTTGGACGCCTTGTCGCTGTTCATGGCGGCTTCCATCTTCGCCTTGGCGGCGGCCCGGGCGGCAGCCTTGGAGGCCTCAGCAGCCTTCTGCGACTTAATCTTTGCCTCTCGCGCCGCCTTTCTCGCGGCAGCTTCTTTGCTGACTTCCTTCGTCACGGCTTCGACACGAGTACGACTTTGTTCCACCCGCCTCTTCTCATTCGTTCGTTGCTGCACATTAGCAGCCTTGAGCTGAGCCTGCTTCTTCTCTGCGAGTCGCTCCGTCTTGGCGGCGACGCCAGACTTGGCAGCGCGCGCCATCGTGGCTTGAGCTCGTGCCTTCTCGCGTTCAGCTTGTTGCTTCGCTTGCTGGCGAGCGCGTTCGGCTTGAGCTTGTGCTTGTGCCTTCTCACGTTGAGCCTTGAGTTTTTCTCGATCCGCCTGTGATTGCGCCCGAGCCTTCTCAGCCGCCTTCTCAGCACCGTCGATCGCGTTTTCCCGCTCCGCTTGTGCTTGTGCTTGCGCCTTCTCACGGTCAGCTTGCGCCTGTGCTTGCGCCTTTTCGCGCTCAGCGCGTTGCTGGGCATCAATCCGAGCCTTGAACGCAGTAACCTTCTTCGCCGCAACAGGAGCTGGAGTGGGAGCGGTCGGGATAGTAGGTGCGGCAGGCATCGACGTCGGCGCCGGGGTCGAGGGAGCGATGGCGACCGGCGTCCTTTTCGTGCTGCGGACCTTGCGTACCGGATCGTCTTGCTTCTGTACTACCGGTGCCGACGTACTAGGATCAGCGGTCGTGGCTGCTTGCGTGACGGCAGGCAACGGAGCTATCGGTGTGGCTTGCTTAGCGCGCACCTTGCGAACCGGCTTCTTCACACCCGCCGTCTTCGCGGCGGCGGCCGGCGTGGCCTTCTTGGAGACGGCCACGGGCTTGCCCTTGGAGCTACGAACCTTGCGCACTTGCTTCTTCTGCACCACGACCTTCTTCGCAACCTTCTTCGCAGTCGGAGTAGCCTTCGTGGTGGCAACAGACGCGCTCTTGGCGCGCACCTTGCGAACCGGCTTCTTCACACCCGCCGTCTTCGCGGCGGCGGCCGGCGTGGCCTTCTTGGAAACGGCAACGGGCTTGCCCTTGGAGCTACGAACCTTGCGCACTTGCTTCTTCTGCACCACGACCTTCTTCGTAAACTTCTTCGCAGTCGGAGTAGCCTTCGTGGTGGCAACAGACGCGCTCTTGGCGCGCACCTTGCGAACCGGCTTCTTCACACCCGCCGTCTTCGCGGCGCTGGCTGGCGTCGCCTGCTTGGAAACGGCCACGGGCTTACCCTTGGAGCTACGAACCTTGCGCACTTGCTTCTTCTGCACCACGACCTTCTTCGCAACCTTCTTCGCAGTCGGAGTAGCCTTCGTGGTGGCAACAGACGCGCTCTTGGCGCGCACCTTGCGAACCGGCTTCTTCACACTCTTCGCGGCGCTGGCTGGCGTCGCCTTCTTGGAAACGGCAACGGGCTTGCCCTTGGAGCTACGAACCTTGCGCACTTGCTTCTTCTGCACCACGACCTTCTTCGCAACCTTCTTCGCAGTCGGAGTAGCCTTCGTGGTGGCAACAGACGCGCTCTTGGCGCGCACCTTGCGAACCGGCTTCTTCACACTCTTCGCGGCGCTGGCTGGCGTCGCTTTCTTGGAGACGGCCACGGGCTTGCCCTTGGAGCTACGAACCTTGCGCACTTGCTTCTTCTGCACCACGACCTTCTTCG